ACACACACACACATTCAGCTCACACCAATGTCTCTCCCATAATTTCCATATCTTTTGTAAAATGTTCTCAACTTTCCCAACTGAGATCCTTCAAGTATGGGATAGAAAGATGAGTATTAAAAGTTACTATGGATGAATTAATAATACAGCTACAAACAACACAGTAGAATGGGAAATATTTTGAAACTGTAATTTATATACTGAAGTAAAGCTTCTTAACTTTTGAAAAATAGATACTCATCTTGAATATCTAAAAGCTATCAATGAATCAGATAGTGAGGATGTCCTTCACTTAAAAATCCGGTGGGATAAAACAGCTCTTATTTTATCTTTTGTGGCACTACCATGCTGATTTTCATGCAGGTCTCAAATTCTTTTTTCTTTACTCTTTAACGCACTAGTTCCTAAATGCTAGTNTCATGCAGGTCTCAAATTCTTTTTTCTTTACTCTTTAACGCACTAGTTCCTAAATGCTAGTCTGGGAACCAGCTGAATTAGAATCGTGTGGGCAGCCTTTCAAAAACACTGATGCCCTGGATCTACCTCCAGAAACTCTGACTCAGTTGGTGTAGGGTAGAAATCTGCATTTTTAAAAAGCTCCCAGTTGTGGTAGAGAGAGTTCTATTTTTTATTCTTTGCTTCAACAGAACCTAGCACACAGGGATGGGAGGGAGAGAAGAAAAGGGAGAAATGCTTTGGACTCCAGTTAATGCAATGGAGAATGGGCTCCTACTAATTCTTACCTTATGATATATCTTACTAAAAACAACCATAATGTCAGATAAATTACCATTTGATAAAAGTGATCTCTAGGAAAGAAGATGAATGCTGTGGGATATGGACGTGGGGTGTCTGCATACCTCTCAAGTGGCTAAGTTTCTGATTAACAATGAATACAATTTTAAAAAGCCCCCATCTTGCCCATACTTGACAACATCTCTCAGAAACGGTATGGTGAAGAAATGGTTGGCGATGTTCCCTGCATTGAACAGCAGTCGTCCATCTGAACTTCGTTTTTGAGCTGTTGCCAAGGAAATCTCACTGTATTCTACCACCTGGTATACTCCATCCACTCGGCAAACCACTCCAACTGGTTCTGTAGGGTTTGTTTTTTCTACCACCTGCCCACCAAGGAAAGAACAATAGAGGAAAAATTTAATCAAATGCTTCATTGGAGATGCACCATTGCCAAAGGCCATA